TATATATATACATATATAATGTAAATGGGCAAGCCGTATTAGTCCAGTAGAGAAGATGTAAAACAAACGTAGTATTGTAGTATCACTTCTACTGTAAACAACATGCTTCCCTATTTATAATGGTCTGGCCCTCTAGCAACTTCAGCGCCAAATTGTAGCTAATTATAGCTAATATTAATTGCTTCCCCCCCTATCGAATATGCCACTGGCCCTGCCGGCGGTGCCCGGGGCACATGCCCCCCTAGCTTCAGCACTGCCCCCAACCACCCCCATGCCTCCCTTTCCCCCACACTGAGCCACTATAACCTGGCTTCTCCCCACTTTTTCTATGTCCCCTTGTGACAGCCGCTGCTTGAGTCAGTGAGAAGCAGCCCCAGAGCCTCCATACCGCTTCAATGATGGCCCAGCCTGCACAGCATCAGAGGGGCCCTGGGACCACCAACATTTTCTCGTGGTCCATGGACCAATGGTTGGCGACCGCTGGTCTAGAGTTCAGTTTTAAGTTGTTGAAATTAATAAATGAACTTGGTATAATGAATACAAGCCCAAAAGCATATGATGTAATATACCTGAAGGTAACAATATAAACCAATTATATAATCCCAGATGTTTTTAAAGTATAGGACACGTTATTATAAGGTTATTTTTTCAGAAAATAAAACATTTAGGATTCTCAAGTACAAGCTAGAGAGGCCAGGGATGCTTCTTGCAAAGGCACAGGTGCCCTTTAATAATTTAAGTAGGAGGAAACCCACACAAAGAGAGGGAGAACATACAAACTCCATGCACACAGTGTGCCTAGAGTGAATTAAAGCCAGGCCTCCAGTATGGCAAGGCCAGTGCGCTGCCTCACGTGATAATACAAAACCTTACAAACATTAAAGCTCTTATACTAAAATGTTAAGGCCCTCCTCCGAACTTGACAAACACTGTCTGAGTCCGCTTAATTCTGAAAAAGAAAAATGGAGAAAGTTTGCGCCCGACCTAAATGTGACGGATCAAAGGTAGTTGGATGTAGTTGGACATGTGTGCTCATACAGTGTATGTGGCCATTAATAGACCTAACATGAGTCCATACAGCTGAACGAACACAGATTTCACAAGAGTGACATCCGTCCCGTACTGCTCCGATCAGCAGGGAATCTGTGCATGGATCCCCTGCTGATCAGAGTGAACAGGTGCCTGTGTGAAAGGGGCCTACCTCTTGTCTGAATAATGTTTATATACACTCGGGTTGATTTACTAACCTTATAAACACACCACGAACATGTATACACCTCTGTAGTGTGTTCCCTCCCAGCATGATCTATGGGTGGAATCTAAACACCTTTGTAGTGTGTACACACCCATCAGGTGTGTTGTGCAAAGCCAAGCATGAATTGCAAGGTGATGTTGTGTAAATTAGCTCTATGTTGTGTTGCTTGCGTTGATGAATGCAGGAATGTAAATGCATGAGCTAACCATTTTTGTCTAAACTGTGAAGCAGCATTATATATGCATCATGTGCAGGGCTTGAAAAATTTGGCGGTGTCTCACCAGTCAGTCAAAAATTTCACCAGTCAGCATGACCGGACTATAGCTTTGTTTTGTGACCCCACGGGGGGTTATTTTTTTTAACTATATAATGAAAAAAGTACCATAAATGTTAAAAAAAAAAAAAGTTTCCCTATGTTATAAAACATTTATTCTTACCCATATTTTTAGTACAACATAAAAATCGGGGTCACGTCGGGTAAATAGACACCAAACATGTCAAGCCTTAAAATTGCCCATACGCGACGATTAAAATGCTTTTACTGCTCATCAGTTTAGTGTTATCAGTGATTAATGGCTCTAGAATTATTGCTCTCACTCTGACATTTGCGGCGATACGTAACATGTGCGGCACAATCGTCGTTTTCGCACGTAGGCGCACCCGACGCATATCTACGTGTGTATGTGGGGGGCGGGGACTTAAAAATGTTTTTTCTTTTTTCATTTTTTGAATGCTTTTTTATTTTTCTATGATTCTTTAATTTTTATATACATTTTTTTATGCAGCTGGTGATACAAGCGATCGAGCGTCTATAGAGACGCTCGATCGCTTGACTGTGTTAAGCTCCCGGCCGGCCGTGTAATTACAACGGCCGGCCAGGAAGCTGCTCGTCGGGCTCCACCGTCCACTCGTCACAGACGAGTGGACGAGTGGATTTTTCGAGCCCTGATCATGTGCATGATTTTTCCATATATGGCATTAGAAGAAATATGCTTTTAGAGACTTTTTGGTTGATAAATACGTTTTGCTGTGTGAAAATCACACGCACCTGGTGCGTGCGTGTGTTTAGGTTAGTAAATCACCCCCACTGTGTCAGACAGTCCATTTTTTGAAAGCAGCAACTATATACAGCATCTACAGCTGCTGTATATACACAACAACGTTTGGCTATCATTTTTAATACATATACCCTGTGTACTTTGAATAAGTTTGTATTGGTGTGCCCAGTGTCCACAACTAGGTAATCAAGCATCAGTATGCTTTCCCAGGGGCGCCCCGAGGCCGGGTGTCACCCCGATGTGCCGTCATTGCGCATGCAGGGCCATCTGATTGACTTATAAAAAGACACATTTTATGAGCTTTGGGAATGCAAGATATTTATCTTAATCTTAATGGAAAACACAATCCTAAAATTACTACAAGGTTATCATTAGCAATTATTAGTTTGCTAATGGATTAGGGAAACATGCTTAAAGTGACACTAAACTCAGGAGTTAAATCTTAAAGTTTACTGAAGCACCCTAACTATTAACAAAAATGTATCTTATTTATGTATCACCCGGCTGTAGATCCTCAAATCATCTATGAATTGGTGCTGACACTGTCCTTCCTTCTGCTCCTATAATAAACAATAACTTAAATATAAATTAGCTAACTAAATGTGACATTTTAGTCCATCACAGGACTGAGCTTGGAGGGATGGCTACTTTACAACACACACAGAGACCAGGAAGAACTAAAGTAGCCACCCTCCTGATACACAAATAAGATACATTTTTCTTAATAGTTAGGGTACTTTAATACATTTTAAAATGTAACTCCTGAATTTAGTATCACTTTAATATGTTTATGAATATTTTGCAGGGATTTAGTACTGCTGGCTTTCACTGACTGTTACGGCAGCTCTTTTTCACATCCGCTGCCTTATTTCATAAGTGATATGTGTGAATAAATATTGTACATAATATATAAAAATGTATATTTTGCAAAGACAACCTTGTTATGTTATCGATTGTTGACCTATATCTACACATCTCATATATTTATCATTTTACTTCCAGAAAATAAAACACATACAAAATACTGACAAGCAATGGTTATTCTCCAAAAGGTATGATTATTTATTACTCATCTTTGGTATATAGCTCTTCATGTTCATATTTTGTTGATCTCTATACGTAATACTGTACAGATTTTTTAAATTTTTCCTAATTTTCCCTAGTGTAGCGTTAAATTAATGAAACACGTACTGAGAGAAAAATGCAGACTGCCATTACTAATCTCACCTTCTAAAAACACTAGTTGCTTGGCTGTCAGTCTGATCCCATGGTAAAGAAATATATATCAAAGCGCTAAAGGTATAAGTGGTATGAAACTTAGTGCAACCAGGTAATGAAGTGAAATTAGGGTTTGAGCGATCTGGCCTAAAACCCCATGCTGAACAATTCGAAAGAAATCTTACTTGGGATCATAAAACAAAGGAAAAATATATATTAATAATTCAATTATAACAGTAAAGGAACATCCAATATATAACGATATATTGGACGATCCACAAAAAAAAATATATCGGAGTACAGTGTTCAGTGAGAAAAAAAACGTAGAAAACGTGTGCAGAGGAAAAATAATTATTGATGGTATATATTTCTTAGCGGTGGTCCAACAGCCCCTCTTGGGTGGGTACTCATCAAATGGAGTTTAATCAAAGACTTTTGGTTAGTGGCACTTGGGCTTGCAATCACGCTTTCAAACTTGGACGCAGTCGTTTCCACTCTAAGACCCAGCGAGGTGAGTGTTTGGATTTCTCCCTTGTGACGCTAGCGCTGTCCCAGAAGCAAAGCTGTATCCTCTCAGATGTAGTGTTAGCGAAACTCCTTCATGCTGCTTTGTGTACCGCACTACAACCAAGCATTTCACAACCTCATGTCACAAACAAGATTTGCTGGGTGCCAGGATTTTTGAAAAAAAATCCTTAAAGGATTTTCCCATCCTCTTTTAGAGCTGCTTTAGGTCTTAATTAATAATACATATTTTTACTTTAGTCTCTTCTCCAGAAGCGCAGATTATCTATTTCACAGTCTGATCCCATGGCTTTAGTGTTTTCTGAGTCACTGACCAAGAATTTGCATGTACAGTCATGGCCAAAAATATTGGCACCCTGTATTTCTGTCAGATAATGCACCACTTTGCGCAGAAAATTATTGCAATTACAAATGTTTAGGCATTCTCATGTTTATTTCTTTTGTTTGTATTGGTATGACACAAAATTAACAGTTTTTTGACGAAACAAAATCACAGCTTTTTGGTAAAGCCCATCATTCTACTGTTTTCAGAAAAAGAAATGAGGCCATTTAAAGAAAATAAATCCAATCCCTACAGTCACACATGATGGAGGTTCACTGATGTTTTGGGGTTGCTTTGCTTCTTCATGCTCTGGATGTCTTGACTGTGTGCATGACATTATGAAATCTGAAGACTACCAAAGAATTCTGGAGTGCAATGTAGGGCCCAGTGTCAGAAAGTTGGGCCTCCGTCAGAGGTCATGGGTCTTACAGCAGGACAATGACCCAAAGCACACCTCAAAAAGCACCCAGAAATGGTTTCAGACAAAGCGCTGGACAGTACTGGACTGGCCAGTAATGAGTCCAGATCAAAATCCCATAGAGCACCTGTGGAGAGATCTCAAAACAGAAGTTGGGAAAAGGAACCCTTCCGATCTGAGAGACCTGGAGCACTTGGCGAAAGACGAGTGGTCAAATATTCCTGTAGAGAGGTGTAAGAAACACATTGATGGTTACAGGAAGCGATTGATTTCAGTTATTTTTTCCAAGGGCTGTGCTACCAAATATTAATTGAGGGTGCCGATAATTTTGTCCAGTCCATTTTTGGAGTTTTGCGTGGAAAGTGTCAGATTTGGCTTTTTTTCCCTCCACTGTTTTTGTGTCATACCAATGCAAACAAAAGAAATAAACATTAGAATGCCTAAACATTTGTAATTGCAACAATTTTCTGCGCGAAGTGGTGCACTTTCTGACAGAAATGCAGGGGTGCTGATATTTTTGGCCATGACTGTAGATCAGTTATTGTGTCTTCACCTTGCCTTTACTTCCTATCTGCTTGTTCTTGGTCAGTAACTTAGAAAGCACTGAACCTAGAGACAACCAAGAAACAAGCAATTTCAGAAGGAGGTCAGCCAGAGATGTTTTCTTAATGCAGTGGGCCTTTGTGCAAGATCATAAGCTGTGCCCCCTTCTGCTAGTAAAAGAAAATGTGCCACGCACAGTGGCAAAGAGTGGGCAAGGTGTGCAGTTTGCTGAATATTGGCCATGGATTAATATTAACCGTCTGCATAGGTGTCAGTGAGTACACTATCATCCCCCACAGCATTGGTATCAGTGCCCACTGTAATAACCACAGCAATGGTGTAAATGACCATAATAATAACCCCCACCATGTGTCAATTGCAACATAAATAACCCTCCCCATTGGTGCCAGTGACCACAATAACCCCGAACATTTATGTAATTGACCTCAAGAATAAACCTTAGCAACGGTGTCAGTGGTAGCAATAATAACCCCCAGCATTGGTGTCAATGGCTACAACAGCATTGGTGTCAGTAGCTGCAATAATAATGCCCAGCTTTGGTGTCAGGAGCCCTAATGATGCCCCAAGCATTGGTGTCAGTGGCTGCAATATTAAACCCCAGCTTTGGTGTCAATGGTTGTAATGTTACACCCAGCATTGGTCTCAGTGGCTACAGTGTTAACCTCCAGCACTGGTGTCAGTGGCTGCAATAATAGCTCCCAGTATTCGTGTCAGTGACATTACTATTACCCCCCACCCTCATTGGTGGTCAATGGCAGGGTTGTTAACCCCCTCCCCCTTGCATTGCTGACCAGTGGAAGCACTGTTAATGCATTGCATTGTTGGTCAGTGGTATTGTTGTTAACTGTCGCACTTTGCTTTGCTGGTCAGTGGCAATGCTGTTCACCGCTCCCCCCTCTTGGTGGTCGTCACCTGATCACTTGCTCTCGCGTCACTCTCCCATCCACCTGTAGAGCACGTTCCAGCACCATACTGCTACTACTGAAGAGGAGGGCACAGCTCACCCCGTGGTGCCCCCCCCTCCCTCTCCACCACATGACAACTCTGTTGCGGTCTGCTGTTACCAGCATTACAAAGCATGATATAACTCGTCACGTACAGTGTACTTGGCCAGTCATATAGGCACAAAGTGCCGGGACGTACACTGTACGTCTCCCGTCACGAAGGGGTTAAAAGTACCACAAAATAGTCTTCTGAAAAAAAAATCACATAATCTTGCTAGTCTGCTACCTATTTCAAAAGATATAGCCTAGAAAAAATTATGGGTGAGAAGGCTCCCGATAGTAATGCAATGTAGTCGCATGACACCGGAAAGCAACTTGCTGGCAGTGATGTAGCGGAATAGCTACCATTTTATTGCAAAGGCCTAGCGGTAACAGATATGAACTGTTACCCAGCCTAGCCCTGGGATTTAGTGTCAGATAGATTGGGAGTACTGGCTGCAGAATAAAATGAAAATAAATTGCTGAATATGTTTAGAGGGGGATCCTGAGTTGGTATATTAGAATACAGAGGATTTCAATGCAAGAGTAGTGGGTGAGCAAACAAGGAAATAGGGTTACATTATAGAGGGTTAGTGTTTGTTTTGGGGTTACAGGGTAGGTTAATATGAGGTGAGCACCTGTTCCAGGAGCTCTGCATCTTTAGCGCTTAAAAGCCAATGTAAAAAGTGTTAGATTTACTTAAATTTTTAATCTCTGACACTTTTTGCAGAAAACACCCTACTGGCTACATAGAAATTGGGACTACTGCCCAGCTAATGCAGAGAATTATGGCTATCCCATGAGAGAATTCATAACAACATACTGTAACAATCTGTATGCTGACTGACATTCTGGATGCATGTTATTCTGTACGCAAAATCCTGTATAAAGCATTTAATACTTTTCAGTTACTTACTATTATTTCATAGTGTTATCTATTTCCGTTTAATGTTTTACATGCCTGTAATTTATTCTAAGGTCCAATTTCTCATCGAAAGATATTGTACTCACTGCAAATTGTATGCTTCTTCTTCTTTATGGCGTTATTTGTCTAGCTTCTTGTCCTCAAATAATTTTTTTTGTCCTAGTCACTTGGTAGCAGTCAACAATTCCAAACTAATCTCAGCTCAGTCACCCCATGGCCTCACTTGAGAAGGCCAGCAGTGCCTCCTATAAACAGGCCAGTATAAACCTTTTGTAGTTGGCTTCCCAGTAGAATAGTGTGTAGTATACTAACCCATTTCACCTTTCCATGTTCACATCTACCCACTGTCTTGACTTTTAGCCATAGTTATTCATCCCTAAAGTTAGCATTTTAAAAAAAAACTTTAAGTCTTTGTGTTTTTATTTAAATGTGGTGTGGCTTGTAAAAATTAACAACAGCATAGTTTTAATTTTAAGATGTATGATTCAACCCTTGTTCCGTCTTCTTGATGTAGAACAATGAATCAGAGCAAAAACTAAATGAGCTAAATGAGTGAACTTTTAATTAGGAAGCCTACCTAAATTATAGCCCTTTGTCGGTTGTAACGTTGTTGAGTAAGGCCAAAGAGCATCATATTCAGTTACCCGTAGCATTCAATAAGCTCTCAGCATTTTAGTAGCCTCATTTATTTGTTTGGCTGCTATGAGTTAATGCACAATGCACATGGTTCCCAAGATTTTATAACAATATTTATACTTAAAACTGCTACTGTGATTAGTTATTCGAGTAGGAATCTAATCACTGAGCACTGTGTAGAACATTCTCAGGCTGCTGCTTGCAGGAATTTGGGACCACACTATTAAACACACTGTAGCAGCTCTACCACTGAAGTGGTTACAGCCCTGTATCTAAACATGGGCCGAAATTCAATATGGACTTTGTTAGAGGTACTTTTTAATTAGAATGCTAGATTTTACATTTAAATAAAATTTTCAATTTTAACATAGCAATAACATATGTCGAGCTGAACAAGATTGGGAGAAAGAAAAACGTGTAAAATGGCAGAATATGGACTTATTGTACAACCAAATTAACAAGAACAGTACATACAACATAAAAGTGAAAGAAAACACATATAGTGAAAAGCTTGCTCATTATCCAAATATACAGGGTGTATGGAATGACGTAACTCCTGTAGGGAAAGGTAACCTTCCAGAGGATTAAAACAAGAAAAACAAGAAGCAGCCTCGGGAAACCTGCTAAAGTACATACAAAGTCGAGGGAGACAAGCAGGAAAGATCATAGAAGGGAGAAGCAATCCAAAGAATACTAGTTTATGAATGGGAATGCTTAAGGTTTATACAGTTTCAGTTTAAAGAATTGAATGTAGTGATAGTAGGAGCATTATTGTCATTATCTATATTTCTGGAGATCTTGGCTGTAACTGACAGTCCTCTCTACAGTCCTGTGGCCCTATAGTACTCATTGTCTGGCCTTGAGTCCTAGTAGCCAGTGTTTTCCCTGCCTTGGTGCTTACAATGATCTGATCAGAGCTTGCACTGGAAGCTGTTCAAGAAGTGTTCTTGAACTGTGGTTATGTGTCATGTGGCCTGTGACATAGGAAAAATAAAGCCCATGTTATCAGGAATAGTGAGTTGGGGAGTTGCCTGGTCCAATTAAGGACAGGTCTCCACTGAAAAAGCAGATGAACCCATTGCTCCAGCAGCTCCTTAGAGAGTCATTGCTAATCATGGGTCTCGTCTGGGATCTTCCTGGCCCTTCTTGCAAAGTGATGACCTTGTCAGGAAGTACGAGCCAAACCAGTAGAAAGTACCTAGTCTCCGATGACAGGTGGTGAAAAGAACAGAATGGTCAACTGAAGCTAAGTGACATATCCCTAGACATAGACATCCCTAGTGACAAATGGACAGAGGAGCAGATGAGCCAAGCACTTTCAGCCTTAGCAACTAACCTCTAGGGTGTTCTTCTTAGATACAAGGATAGATTATGACATCTTCCATACATATAGTCTTCTAAGAAAAGGAACAACTCATGATGCAAATCTAGATGTTAAACATTAGGGAGACAGCTTTGTGCGTCACTGAATATTATTTTATGGTTTACTTATTGCTGATTACAGAAGGTGACAGTGCTGTTCAAGATAAAGGGACTATTTCTTTAGATTGTGTAATACCTATGTTCTTGTTTAGGTCATGTTCCTTTATTTATTTATTTATTTAAAGAACTCCAGGAAATTTAAAAATTTACCTTTGCAGTGGGGCTACCGCCACACTGCAAGAGTTAACTTCTCGTTTTGGTCTAGGGGCTAAAATAAAGAAAATTTGTCTATAATCTGATAACAGGGGGAACATGTGTGGCTCGAAATTACTTCTGAGAGCAAAGTGCCCATCGGTGCAGTGGTTAAAGATTCTCACAATGGAGAGACATTGCTTGAAGATGATGACGGCAAGGTAAGTGATGTGTCTTCATCTGTCTGTCTAACTAGCTAAGCATTGTTTGTTTCCCAATTTTTTAGTAGAGGGTGGAATCTGTCTCTTGCTCAGCCAATGAAGGCAAATGTCTCCAACGTGCAGATAGACAGTAGTAAATAGAGGCAGATGTTACAAGCCTTTTCCACTATACTAGAAATAGTGGGGTTTTATTATTATTATTATTGCTGTCTGTATCTCATGGCTGAGAGATTGCACTCATTCAACAACAGAGACATAGGCAGCAATGACAAAAAAACAAATTTCTAACCCTTTCCTGCTCTATGCAAAACAAAAAGTGTGGTTCCACTTTAACATTTGAGAACTGAGCAATGAGCAGCCCTGCACAGGTAGCAGTATATAATCTCAAAAAGTGTTAAGAACTCTCAAAAGCATCAGAAGGGCTGAAGTGAAATTAAAAATGAAATGTAAGCTGATTTGTAGTCTCAAAAATGAGTTTAGTGTTTGGCTTTGTACTGTATTTCCGATGAATAAACTTTTCAGGAGTAATTCATACTGAGTTAAATGCAGTCACTATCTGTCTGGATCCTTACTTTGATAACCTGGAAATGGGCTGGGCCTTGATAGTGTATGTCCAGTGGCGGACCTAAGGAACAATGGGCCCTGGTGCAAGATTGATTTTCTGCCCCCTTCCCCCCTCCCGCCCCCTCTTACAATGCCCGCACTGCCCACTTGAGAGCCCCACTGACCACCTTAAAGCCTGAACTAGCCACCTGAGAGCCCCACTGACCACCTGAGAGCAGAAAAACAAGCTCAGGGCTCCCACTGATGATTCTGCAATTATTTCATTATACACTGAGTGGCCAGATTATTATGACAACCTGACAGTTGTAGGCAAATTAGCTATAATTAGCTATAATTTCGTGCTGAAGTTGCTAGAGGGCCAGACCATTATAAATAGGGAACCAGGTTGTTTATCACTACAGTAGAAGTGATTTTTTTCTGAAGATATGGGTAAACGACGCAATTTAACAGCCTTTGAACGTGGGATGATTGTTGGCGCTCGGAGCCATGGAGCGAGTATCAGCAAAACAGCCGAATTTGTTAAATATTCACGAGCAGCTGTTGTTAAAGTGTTTAAAGACTGAACTGTCAGCCGAAAATCTGGGTCTGAACGTGCAAATTGTGGCCGTCAGTAACTAGTCAATGTTAGGGAGAACGGAGAATGGCAAGACTGGTACAAGACAACAGAAGGGCAACAGTGCAGTGTCAGATTCCTCGCATCACCTTTCAACATCTCGTGGAGTCACGAGGCGGCCCAACGAAGTAATCTCGTGGAGTCATCTAGTGGCCCAATTAAGTACTGATGGGGTGGTCATAATAATCTGGCCATTGTATATTACAATGTAATAATATTAGAAATATTAATAAATGTGTTTAAAATATCCCGAAAGGTTCTAGCCGTTCTCTACTATATTCAATGTTGAATAGAGATTTGGCTGGAGTTGAGCTTTAAAGATGAAATCCGGGGGAAAAATATTAATAACCCCTGCAGTGGGGCTACCCCCGCACTGCAAGGGTTAACTGCTTGTTTGTGTCTAGATGCTAAAAAAAAAAGTTATACTCCCCCAATCATGCGAGCCGGCTTCTTCTTAGATTGGTCCCTAGGTCCTCTCTCCGCCTCCTCTGCAGCAGTTTAAGAATCCTGGTGTCATCGCATTCTATACAAGTGTATAGACGTGAGGACGCTGAGGAGCATTCCATCTGTGCAGGTGTCGCCACAGTTCGGGTGACTATTACCTTTTTTTAGTACCTAGATACAAATGAGCAGTTAACCCTTGCAGTACAGGGGTAGCTGCCCTACAAGGGTTAATAAAAAAATTTCCCTTGAGTTCTTGATTAACCAAAATAAATGACCAAAATGCTATTGATCTATTAAACATTAGCAAATATGTTTTTGTCTTTCTTAGGAACACTGGATCTCTGCCCGAAACATTACCAGTATCCATTCCATGCACCCGAGCTCAACCCAAGGAATGGATGATATGATCAGACTGGGTGAGCTTAATGAAGCTGGCATTGTCCATAATCTGCATATCCGATACAAAGAGAAAAGCATTTATGTAAGACAACAAGACTAAGAGATACCTATTTATGTAGAATTATTTGCTACATTGTTTTCCATTGGGGAGATTTCCCTTCCCTAGCTGTGTGATTCCCATAAACAGCAAGTGAGGGGAAATCCCTCCAAAGAGAGGGAAATTCCTGGTGGTCATCAGGGCCACCAGAACTAGTGTGCCCATTGGAAGATTTCCCATCTATTTCTCTTCTGATGACAATTCAAATTTTGGGATCTTTTTCACTTCCAGTAATAATGGTCATCAGGACAACTCTGATCTTTTACTCTACAGTTTCCATAAAATGTACTAACATGGAATTATATGTATTGCTGTGGGTTTGTTTTCTTGTTTTTGAATGTTTTTCGCATATGAACATGCTATTGATGTCTGATATGTATTAGAAGATGTGAGGATGCATGTCATCATTACTGGCCACTGTTTTTTCCTTTTCTACATTAAACATAAAGGATTTTGGTCCTTACTTATTGCTTAATCATCATTTGTTGTTTTGGGATAAACTTTTGTAGGTCAAAATATAATTCTCTTTGTTTCAGACCTACACTGGAGCCATCTTAGTAGCTGTAAATCCATATGAGGAGCTCCCACTCTATAACACTGAACACATCCAAATGTACAGGAATCGGCGTATTGGGGAGCTTCCACCACACATCTTTGCTTTGGCAGATACCTGCTTCTTCAACATGCAGAGAAATAACAATGACCAGTGTTGTGTCATCAGGTATGCCAGAAATAACCAATGTGTTCAGTTACAGAAAAGACTTTATCAGTTGTTTAGTTCAACTCTTCATTACAGCGTAGAAAAGAAATGGGTAATTTACTAATATAGATACCCAATAAAGTGTTTTGTCACAGTAATGCTATTTAGCAACAATTAAATTATATTATGGAGTATGCAACAAGGATGCTGGAGATCTTGCTGTTATTGCATCCAAGGTATGTATGATGCAAGGGGCTGACACGGCACAACACACTTCACCAATAACTTAAATCTAGCTTCTGGATAGACTGTCCCTTTAACCCTTCCGCTGCCAAGGTGTTTTTTTGCACACATGTTATAATCTACATTCTAGGCCGGAACTTTATCAAACCCAAAATTTTAGAAACAATACACTAAAGTTAATTTTAGTGCCCAAAACACAATATTACACCCATTTGTTTTGTAACATATAAAAGATGAGGTTACGACAAGAAAGTGATACTCAGCATGCCAAGGTTAAAAATTGCGTGCGTCCATGGAACAGCGACAAAATACGGCACCCCAAATTGTCCATAGGCGCGTAGTAGACAATCTACAAATACAGAAACTGGTACTGTGTATTGGATGTGAACATTGCAATATAAACATCGAAAGCTTTCCACAGATAAATAGTAGACATATTATATTTTGGTCTATACTGTTGAGTTTCCACCTTTTGCATAATTTGTATTTCAGTGGAGAGTCTGGAGCAGGGAAGACTGAGAGCACAAAGTTAATGCTGCAGTTCTTGGCATCATCAACTGGTCAGCATTCCTGGATTGAGCAGCAAATTATAGAGGCCAATCCTATCATGGAAGGTAAGCAGACTAAATAAATAGTGACACAGAGCACTGGTCTTTTGACCAAATAATTCAAGGTCATGAACACGCTGATAAGTAAGGTATATATTAAGTAAATATTTGTTATATATTTTGTTTTCCTTATTTATTCACTTAATGATACAAAAGTCAGGATTGACTTTACTTTTACTTTGTTTATTTTACATTTCAGCCTTTGGAAATGCAAAAACCATCAGAAATGACAACTCTAGTCGTTTTGGCAAATACATTGAAATTCACTTCTCCAAGAACAATGTGATTGAGGGTGCTCGTATTGACCAATTTCTCCTGGAAAAGTCACGTGTATGCAGACAGGTCTGTCAGCCTAGACATTATTTATCTACTGCTACATTACAGCTTGGAAATGGGAACACTATACCAAAATGTATTAACAGGCCACACAAATTAACTGGCCACGCACATTACAATCTGCTTTTCACTTAAATATGCTTATTAAAGAATCCTTGATTAGATACATGACTATTAATAACGACTTACAAAGCCATCTACAACTCTGCCCCCAGCTATATCTCAAACCTTGTCTCAAAGTATCACCCTCCACTCTTCAAAAGACCTCCTGCTTTCCAGCTCCCTCGTCAACTCCTCCCATGCTCACCTCCAGGACTTATCTAGAGTCTCTCCCATCCTCTGGAACCCTTTACCCCAACCTGTCCAACAATCTCCCACTCTGACTGCCTTTAGGCGATCCCTTAAGACCCATCTCTTCAGGGAAGCCCTTCCCACCTCAAACTAACCAGTCAACCATCACGTTCTCAAACAATTTATCCCTACTCAGCTACCACCTCATGTATCACTTGCCTCTCCCTTTTAGATTTTAAGCCCTCAGGGGGCATCTTGTCTTGAATTGTATTGTGATTGTGATATCTTCCTTATATTGTAAAGCGCTGCCCAAACGGATGGCACTATATAAATCCTGTATAATAATAATCATCATAATAATAATACACTCTTTTAGTTACATTTGAACAATGTTTTCTGCATGCAACCTCTGGTGCCACTAAGTATCGATAGTGTGTCATCTACTTTCTAGATCCACTCATTGCAGTAACCACTCTAACAAACTTTCCCAGTATGGGGCAAACATGCATGCTATTTCCATGATCCCACAGTGCAGAGCTATATTCCTGCAGGACCATATGCCAGGCTTAAGAAGTGTTATGTGGAGGTAATGGTCCCAAACACTGGATTTGATTTAAAAATAGTCAGATAGCAGGGTACAGTGGCTTCAGTAAGGCTACTCTCCACACAACAGGACACTCCTTTAAACCCAGAGTTCAGGATCCACATATACAAAGCCTGATGAGAGCAAATAAAGGTCCAAGAGTCCAAACTCTTTTAATATTAGTATGACTTCATAACAGGATAATCGCCTACTTCTTCAGGCCTACAAAACAGATATAAAAATAGGTATGTAAATATAAAATCCATTTTATATATATATATTTATTATTAAATATTTAATATCATATTTATGTACCTATTTTTATATCTGTTTTGTATCTCTGAAAAAGGGGTCGCCCTGAAATTAACTGATTTGTGTTATCCTGTTATGAATTACTACTAATATTAAAAGAACTAGTATTAAAAGAATACTATTAGCACCCTTTGACGGTGCTAATGAATATAGGGAATTCCTTTGGAATTGTTATAAATGAAGTGTACCGAGGGTAAGTAAGTTTAATGTTAATGATATAAAGGATAAAAACAGAAGTGGTATGAACATAGTGTTTTGTTCTTTTGGTGCAGTCGAGTTTGTATGATAAATCCAAAATGACACTGTGCTACAACTCACTGTGAATTCCTATGTGACATATAAGGTTAAATTGTAACTATATAAAATCCGTGTTAAATATCCTTCATGATAATAGTGAATTTACCACCTTTTAACATACAG